CCCGCCAAATGTTTTAATGTAAGTTTTATTATACAGTCAGGGAGGATTTGGTTGGCCTAACAGGCAGAGATAAAAGGTCAAAGAAAGATAACTCCTCTTTACTACATGCTGTAATTCTGAGGATACTTTTAGGCCAAGCTTTACAATTCTTGTGTGTCTGCATCTATCTTCCTGTAATCACACTCTCTCCCTGCTTTTTTTAGGATCTGTCTTGGCCCCTGTGTAATTTAGTGGCTAGAAATATATGTGTAGATAGAGCACTGAAGATGATTTTGGACTGATTCAAGGTATAGCATGGAGACAGGGCTGTTTCCAGGCTGTATCTTTCTACAGAGCAAGTGCCTTCTAGTTTCTGCCACTGCCACCTTTCTCCTTGGCTAGAGGTTGAAGATAGCACACTAATGTCTTTTTATTTTGTCTCATTATGACAGAGAAGTTCTGCTAGGGCACTCTTTGGTGTAACTTGCAGAATTTCATGAAATAAGACAGCCTTTTCCTGAAGAAACCTAGGCTGCAGACCATGAACAAGCCTATGGCTGTGAGTGACTCACAGATTCAAGTCAACCTCTTCATCTTAAGAAAGAGCTTGCAACCCTTAATGACTAGGAGAGATTTCTAGTGGACACACCTGGGCCTTGACTGGCCTCAAGATGGTGGTCATAGTAGGCTCTGTAAACTCATAGTGCTGGTATTCCACTGGATACCATCTTGTGTGACTTCAGGAGACCTCATAATTGAGTAGAGCCTATGTTCTTCACCTGGACACAAGCCATTCTTTCTCCTGTACTACATGTGAAACAGCAGTGAAAGCTAATACTGTAAGTGGAATGTAAATTTACAGTAGCCCTTGTAAAGCTCACCTAGCTCATGTACCTTTTCTTGATGGTAGCTACTCAAGTAAGCTGTTGTAGTGTGTAGCTATGTGGCCTCATTGTCAAATGACGTATATTCTGTACTACCTTCCTGGCATTACTTGTCTATTTGCTGCAAGAAACACGTGCTGACTACTGTACACTCTACCTTGCTAGGCTAGTAAAAATTAAGCCCAAAGCTGCTGCTGTTCAGAGACAACAAACTTTTGCAGAGTTTAAGCAACTAAGCAACGCTCTTGGGCTCCCATCCTGCTCTTTTGAGATACTACACCAAACTATCTCCTTCAATAATCTCACTTTTTCTGTTCAAACTTTTCTTTGCCTCTGGTCTGAGTGTTGTCCACCCCCCTCCCCCACACTGAAATCTTTCTTTCGGGTGGGTTAAGAACCAAGGAGAGGTTAGAAACCTTGAGTCTCCTCCTAGTAACAGTTTGTAGTCTCTATTTTGTATTTTCTGGTTCAAGAGTATGTTGTCTTTTTGCTTATTCTTCTTCCCAAACATTTCCCTCCCCTATCCGGTCTCTAACATCCCATTTCAACTGCCTGATGACTAAAATGTAATTTTTTGTTTTGTTTTGCAAACCTGGGCTTAATTCAACTAAGTTGATTTCTCACTATATCTAAAACTTTACAGTCTAAAATAATGACTTATTCACAATTTTTACACCTTTTCACGATGGGGGACGAAGGGCAGGAGATCGATGCATTTGATGAGACTAATGGAAATTGTTGTAAATTCCTCTGTTATAATTGATTCATAGGTGAGGCCAACGGAGAACCATCGGGCTATTTTACCTCAAACTCTTACGTCTTCCGGGTGTCTGACGCCTGAAGTTAGTTCCGGGCCACGGGCGGAACTCCGCGGTCATAGAGCTGGCGGAACACCGGGTAGAGG